TCCTCCTCTTCCTGCACACCCTCCCTCTCCCCTAAAGTCCATCTCCCTCTGACCCCTCCAATGTCCATCTTCCCCCGTCCGTCCGTTCGTCCGTCACGTCACGACTTCCTTTGAAGGGAGACGCATTAAGTAAACATGACAGGCCGTTTTCACGTCATGTCGTGAATTCTCACTTTCCGATGTCCGCTGATATAAGAGACAGGGCACGCCGGGGGTGGTTAGGGGAGGGGGGTGGGGTTCCTGTTAAGTAGGGTGGAGGCCACCCCTATTGTGCAGACTGTTATGGTGGTGGTGTGTGACGGGTGCCAAATTATCTCGCGACAAATCGTTACCATAGAATTACAGTGTTTTATTTATCTATTTATTATCGGAGAAATTTGACGTCACATATTTCAAGTTTCACAAACTGTCAAGCTTTTTCGGATGCAATTAATTCTTTGATTAGCTTGATAACGACTCCGAATACTCTTACGATTTTGGTAGAGCAGGTAGCGCATTTGGTTTCTAACCCCATGGTCTTAGTCTTAGTAACTCAAAACGGCCAAAGTGTCAGATAAATCTTTGTAATTCTAAGAAAGCGAAATAGTATCTTGATCTATGAACCGGATAAGTTATTACGGTTGATGCTAGTCGCTTACGTTGCGGTTCTACTTCTTTGCTTTCCTTCTTTTGTTTCTGTTAGTGTCTCTTACTTTTTCCCATAACTTAATTTCCATTATTGTGTCAATGTGCTTTTCTTTACTCAACAAAAGAACAATTATAATAAACGTTTTGTTCTACTTCTTTTTTGTTCTTGATTAAGTCTTACGGTAATATTAGGAAGACTGCCATATTATACGACATGTCATGATCCATTCAAAGTTCTGTCTCTGTCCTCTGGTGTGATTTGCCCTCTTTTTTTCCATCAAACATCTATTGGCCTTATAATTTTCACCTCTTTCGTTTCTTTATGTTATCACTCTCTAAAAACATCTCTAATCTTCGGTACTTTTATGACATATGTGTGTGGCAAGTTCCGTAAAACTCTCGCTAAAACAACAACAAATTTATATGAAGATTCTTATAGGGCGTCAGAAGAAAATTCTTCACAGTTAATAAATGTCAAAGTAAAGATGTTAAGCTTCTACAGCTGGCGATTCGGAAAACAGAAATGTTTTGTGGATCGTGAATTGTCTGGAAACCCGAGTTTTATAATGAGTTTATAAAATTTTTCTCCCGACTTTAGTTCCGCACAGTGCCTCTCAGCAACACGTTTTCCTTGTTAGCGACTGCTTAAGCACAGATGTACACGCGAAATACGTAAACATTGTCACGTGGTTCTTGAAAAGCTAAATAAACTAACGTATGTATCATACATTTGACTTAATTAGTTGCAGAAACAGGTTTTTTGGGGTTTTTTTTAAGGGGGGGGGGGGTGCCTTATTCAAAAGTGGTTTCCCTGTACTCTCTTCACTTTCCATCAACTACAACTTAAATTAATCGGGGGAAACTGGGAAATGCGCCGAATCCTGACAATTTTTATGCGGTTTGGGTGTCCAATTTCATTTTGGGACCCACTCCCACTGTACGGACCCGACTAATCAGACAAAATACTTACACAAAGGGTTTGGGTTCGTGTCTCTCGCAATCTTACAGCACGATTGAGTCACTCGCACTGTACCGGGCGGTTGGATGTAAAGGGATGGTAGCCGGGG